TGTGTGTGTGTCCATATCTGTGTCTGTGTGTATCTGTGTGTGTGTCTGTGTGTGGGGGGGGGGGTTCATATCTGTGTCTGTGTGTGTATCTGTGTCTGTGTGTGTGTGTGTCCATATCTGTGTCTGTGTGTGTGTGTCTGTGTGTGTGTGTGTCCATATCTGTGTCTGTGTGTGTTGGGGGGGGAGTTTTGTGTGTGTGTGTCTGTGAAAGATCAAAGCACTGCAGAGGGACACGCCCAACATGAGTGACAGGGCAGCCAGAAACATGCCTGCCCCCATGGGCTGCAGGAGGAGAGTGCTGCCCTGGCCTTCTGCCCTGGACAGACTTCATTGGAGGCCTGGATTCCATGGTTGGAAACTCGGTTTAAGAACGCTTATGAGCCAGACAGCATCTGGAGGTGGAGCAAGCAGGATGAGGAAGGGCATTGGACATGGAGGACCTTCATGCTGGGTCCTGGAGGGCAGAACCAGGAGCCATGAGGGGAAGATGCCAGGGCCCACATTAGGTGGGCCATCAGCAAACACTTCCTAACCATGAGAGCTGTCCCGAGCTGGCCTGAGCGGCCCATTGTCCCTGGAGGAGCCTGTAAGCAGAGGCGCGAGGATATTGTCTTGAGACATAGCCCAGGAAGTCTCCCTCTGGTGTGGGCTCAGAGCTGGAAGAGGGCTTAGAGGTCATTTGGTGTATATTCCTCATTTTACAGATGAAGAAACTGAGGCCTAGAGAGGGAAAGGGATTCCCCCGGTTACACAACTAGCAAGTGGTCATGCCAGGCATTGGACCCCACGTCTTCTGACCCCAAACCCAATACTCTTTCCACTGTACCAAGATGGCACCTTCAATGGCCTTTGGCCTCCCAGGGAGATGGCTGCAGGCTGCCTCAACCCCTCTCAGCCCCCTGGCCCAGTGTCCAGTGAATTGGCTCCTGAATGACCGTTGGGGGGCCTCAAGTCGGGGGGCACAGGCTGAGGGGGCTCTTGCTCCAGCTCTCTCCCAGGTCCCTGGCATTGGGCAGCCCCAAAGGGTTTACATGCCCTCCTCTGACCTTGCTCTGTAGGACAGGAGATCCTGTCCCTGAGGGGGCTGGGAAAGCCTCTGAAGCTACAGGCACAGGGCACCCCACTGACCCCTCTCTTCTCCTCCCTCCTTGTCCCCCGATCCAGCACCTGCATGCGAGGAAAATGGCAATGTCTGAAGAAAGACAAGTGCTTCTCCACCTGTGCCCTCTATGGGGAGGGTCACCTGACCACCTTCGATGGGCAGCGTTTTGTGTTTGACGGCAGCTGCGAATATGTCCTGACCACGGTGAGCCAGCCACCACGGGGTATCCAGTTCCAGACCAGGGCCATCCCCACCCCTAGGCACGTCCAGGCACCCCTGCAGGAGGCAGCATCTCTGCCGCAGATGTGCCTGGGAACCTGGCAGGAGGCTGGCATCTCTGTGGCTCTCATACACTCTAACTGCTGTTGTGCTTGATGGCAGGAGGGGAGCCTTCCCACAGGCCTCCACCACGGTTACAGAAACTCTTCCTCTTCCTCAGGATGGTTGTAGTGCCAACAATTCTCATCCCACCTTCAAGATTGTGACAGAGAATGTCATCTGTGGGAAGTCAGGAATCACCTGCTCTCGGGCCATCAAACTCTTTCTTGGGGTGAGAAGCTGGACTGGTGGGGGGCAGGGAAGGGCCTCAGGCCTTCAGGTTCATTCTCCTGTTCTCACTCTTTCTCTGTCTCTCTGTTTCACTCTCCTCTCTCTCTGTCTCTTTATCTCTCTCTGTTTCTCTCCTCCGTCTCTCTCTGCCTCTCAGTTTCTGTCTCTTTCTGTCTCTGTCTCTCTCTGTCTCTCTGTCTCTCTCTCTCTCTGTCTCTGTCTCTCTGTGTCTCTCTCTGTCTCTGTCTCTCTGTGTCTCTCTCTGTCTCTCTGTCTCTGTCTATCTCTCTCTGTCTCTCTGTCTCTGAATCTGTCTGTCTCTGTCTTTCTGTCTCTCTGTCTCTCTCTCTCTGTCTCTCTGTCTCCCTCCCCTCCTCTCCCCTTCCTTTCCTTTCCCTCCTTTTCCTCCCACTCCTACGTCTTTCTCTGCTCCCTTCAAGACTACCAGAACCTGGCCCTCAGGGCTACCAAGCCCTGGGTCTTTGCCTTCTCTCTCAGAAACTCCTGGGCTGGGAGCCTGGGACTGCACCTCCAAGTCTTTGCCCCCGCAGCAGGCAGGACCTCCCCACCTTGGGGTCCTGGAGGCCCAAACTGTCTCTAAGAGACAGGCTAGAGCCATCCTACGGAGGCCCGCGATGAGGACAGAGGTCACAGAAGCACAGGGTGCTTGGGGCTGTACCCGTGACCTCCATGGAGCTGTATCCAGACCCCAGCTCCTCAGCGCTCCAGACCCCTCCCTACAACCACTAATGGGCCCTCCATCAGCAACCTCCCATGCTCCTCTCATGTCCGCACCTCCCTGTCCCAATCTGTGTGGCTGCCCCCTGTGGTCTCCTGGTCACTCTATCCCCACCCCCAACAAGATTCATAGAAGTCACCTGGTCCAGGGTCGCCCAGTGGGGGAAAGCAGGTCTCCATGCCTGGCCTTCTAGCTTCTCAGGGGCACCCTCCCTGAGGCTCAGACAGGGGCCAGTGAGTGGCTTCCTGGCTGAGGGCTGGTATCTCAGGGCTCCGGCTCAGGCCCCCATATCCAGGTTGCATGGGCCCAATTAAGACGGGGCCCCAACAAGAGATGCCCCTTCGCAGGACCTGTCCCTCGTGCTGTCGGATGCCACGTACACCATCAGGGGGAAGAACCCCCAGGTACACGTGCAGGTGAAAAAGAACGCTCTGCACCTGCTGCTCGACGTCGCCATCCCCGGCAAGTTCGACCTGACTCTGCTCTGGAACAAACGCATGAGCGTCTTCATCAAGGTGTTCCGGAATTCTCAGGTGAGTCCGCCTCGGGGTGCCCGGCTCCCTCCTTCACCGCCCCGGGAGTCCCACGGCGCCACGCCTGCCCTGCGCTCTTCGCAGCAGCCTGGGAGCGTCGTCAGAGACGCGTTTCCAGCCTGGAGCTCTGGCCACGGCGTCCCTCCCCAAGCCCCGTGGGGCCCCCGCCCCGTGGGGGGCCCGCCCCGTGGGGCCCCCGCCCCGTGGGGGGCCCGCCCCGTGGGGGGCCCGCCCCGTGGGGCTCCCTAATGGGGAAGAGGGGAGTGGGAGGCTTCTCTCGTCTACGTTCTCTGCCATGCTGTGCCTGGCCTGACCTGGGACACCCCCATCTAGAAATTCAGTGCTGCTCGGCGCGCTCTTCCCAAATACGGCCCCACACTTTTTGCCTGTGACCGCCTCACTTCTCTCGGCAGGGGAGAGAGAGATGATAGGAAAAAAATCTCCAAGAAAAGTCATGAGCTCTCTCAGCGCCCACCCCCCAGTCAGATTCAGGGACAGAGGCAGCAGAGGCGCGGGGGGAGGGGGGAGCAGGGACCAGGGAGGCTGGGCGAGGGTGGGGGCGGGGCACAGGTGACCAGCCGGGTCTCGCTCTTCAGGATGCCCTGTGTGGCTTGTGCGGGAATTATAATGGCAACATGAAGGACGACTTTGAGGCTCGCAGCAAGTACGTGGCCTCCAGCGAGCTGGAGTTTGTGAACTCCTGGAAGGAGAATCCCCTGTGCGGCGACATCAGCTTCGTGGTGGACCCTTGCCTCCAGAATCCCTATCGGAAGGCGTGGGCCGAGAAGAAGTGTGCCATCATCAACAGCGACAAGTTCTCTGCCTGTCACAGCAAGGTGGGGGGGGCAGGGCGCGTGTGCACGTGCGCGCATTATTGTGCTTTGTGTAGAGTGCATGCATCGTGTGCACGTG